TTCAGGCCAAACATAGGGTTATCGAGGATGCTCTATCGATTGATGGGCATATGTAGAGGTCCCCATCCGCCCCAACACTGAGAACTAGAATTCTGCAATTTGATTGGTCTAAAAATAGACCAATTAGATTTCAGAAGCGCTTTTTTCTCTTATTGTAAGGACAACACATAGCCATGTTCGGGCCAATCATAGGGTTATCGAGGATGCTCTATCGATTGATGGGTATATGTAAGGGCTCCTACTCAGTGCAACACGGCGAAAATAAAGCTTTGGCATTTGGCCTCGGGGACCCAAGGGTGCCCCCAATAATAGGACTTGAGGGCCAAAGGGTACCCCCCAGTAATAGGACTTGAGGGCCAAAGGGTACCCTCCAATAATAGGACTTGAGGACCTAAAGGTACCCCCAAAGTATAGGCCTTGAGGATCCAAGAGTACCCCCAAGAATAGGACTTAAGGACCTAAGGATACCTCCAAAGTATAGGACTTAAGGCCGCAAGGGTACCCCCAAAGTATAGGACTTGAGGACCTAATGGTACCCCCAATATAAGGACTTGAAGACCTCAGGGTACCCCCAAAGTATAGGACTTGAGGACCCAAGGGTATCCTTATAGTATACCACTTGAGGACCTAAAGTATCCCTATAGTATTGCATGACACAAACACTTGAACTTTAAAGAAAAAGTTAAAGTTAAAGTGCCAAAATTTTTACTTTAATTAAAGTTTAAAGTTTTAAAGTGTTTTACTTTAAACTTTAATTAAAGTTTAAAGTTCTAAAATTTTTCACTTTAATTAAAGTTTAAAGTTTAAAGTGTTTCACTTTAACTTTAAACTTTAAAGTTTAAAGTGCCACTTTAACTTTAACTTTTAAAGTAAAGTTAAAGTGCCACCCCTACCTTCGTATCTAAAATCGTTTTTTTCTTATACTGATGTTAAAAGAATCAGCTCGATGGATCTATGTGTAATTGAGGGCGCTATGACCTGGGATAATGATTATCATAGAATCAAAAGACACAGAAAAAAAAGGAAAATTTTCAAATAACATTAGTTTTAAAAAGATAAACTAATGACTTTACTTCTTCAATTGGTTATCTACTAAATCTATGCGCCCAAACTCAACTAAAATAATATATATCAGCTTGAATTATTCTTTTGAAAGAAGTTTAGTGCCATAATTGTTACTACAGATTCTCAAATATTATTGTTTAGCAGCTGCTCAGCTGTTAGCTTTTATCTCTTTTACTTTAACAAGGAAAATTCATGGTAAAAAGATTAACTCGCTTCATGTTGTATTATAACCATTATTTCTGGATTAACTAGTGTTATATCATGAATCCTAGTTTTTTCAAAGAAAACAATATAGAGCAGCTTATTTTACTGAAATCAACTTTATTTTAACAATGTCGAGTCATTCTAATTCTAACAAGGCAACACAAAATAACTTGGGTTAATAATCTTACGTTGAATGAGAAATTGATATGATAATGATGATGTATCGTTGCCATCACAATAGCTTCTATTAGTTTTGACAAGCAGGCAGGTAAAATGTACGAATAATATGAAAAAGATAATGTGCTCAGGCTGCCATGACTCTGTCTATATATATATATATATATGAGTGAACTCCATTAATTATTGACTGCTTGGCAGTCGTGTCTATCGTTTAATAGGCAACCATTACAAAGCTGTACCTCTCTATATCAACAGCATTCTCACCCTATTGGTCGTATGTTATAAGAGGAAAGCAAAACAATAGGATCAATTCGCTTATTTATTTTAATCAATAAAATTAAAAAATACTGAAGAATATTTCCAATAAATGAGTTTTTGTCAGCTTGGTCTGTTCTAAAGATATGTGAAAGAAGAAGATAAATCTAACTGGATTCAATGATAAAGATTTATAATTATTTGTTGTTGGAACATTCGATTAGCGAATCCATTATCATGAAATGATATTTTATTGTTATGGTAATTACGCTAGAAATAGTCAATCTATAATGATCTATAGAAATTTAGAAAAATAAATGCTAAGATGTCTTTTGGACGAATAGTTCTTGAACAATGATTCGTGATACATCATGTCAAATGAGTAAAACATGAAAAATTTCAATGAAAGAGGAAATGATCCACATCACATACGATTAACACAAGAACTAGTGAATCGCATCTAAGAGTTTTGAAATAAGTTGTCGCTCATGATTAAATCAGGAAATAATTGTTTAAAGTAAAGATGCTTTTGTGGATTTATCTATTTAAAGGTATTATTAGTTTTAGGTGATGGTGCGTGTCGTGGTCGTACTATTGATATCGAATTAAATGAATTGGATCACGATTATAGATATTGCCTCGTATAAATCGCACTTTATATAATAAAAAATCGTCAAAATTTCAAAACGAGATTAATCAGTATTTATTGAATAGAAAAACAGGATAAAAACGAAAATGATGATAACTAGTTCGACACTTTATATCCATGAATTGATGTCCATTTATTCCACACTGTTTTTGAAATATTATTTGTACCCAAATAAATAGTCTTCAATGTCTGCGTAACAAATAGACCAATATACGATCGATTAAGAACAAGAAAAGATAGTCACCTTGTTACTCATTAAAACATTAGCAAGATGCAATACTCCTTCATCACCAACTACATTAAATCAAAGACTCAGAATCGTTAGTATCTTGTACTCAGGGTGATCCAAAAGTAGTGAGAGTGACGCTTTAATGCCTTATAGTAAGCTGAAAAGATGTAAGGGAAGTTAGCACCTGATTCGAGTTTTTTTCAGACCGATTCGCCCACTCAACTGTGCCACGTTTCATTTTTCGTGTGCCAGATAGAGCTCGACAAACTCTATCACATCGTAAATTTGGAATTACAGTCAAGATCAAAACCAACAAAAGACAAAGTAAACTATAATTTTGTACCACCGGCAAAAACACTAAAATTCGAAATGTCGTAAAACAATTCGAACCAGGACCCGTGCCACTTTTCAAATTTATATCATTCGACGTATCT